TTATGTTTAAAAAAAGTAAGCTATAAAAAGCTATAAAATATCCAAGTCAAAATTGTTAATTATACTTAGAATATCCAGAAAAACTCTATGTAATATTCTACATGTATCTAAGCATATATACGAATACAAATGTAAAAAGCTGCTCTAGATTATCCTGTAAAGCTTATTAAAAAATTATATTAAATCTTGGTATAATTTTTATGATGTGTTCGGAATATTTAATTTTTATTATATTTAAAAATTCAATGAAAATAATTCAAAATACATCTTTACAGAATATCTAAAGTTTCCAATATTCAAACATGGGCTAAATAATAAATAAATAAAAAGTTGAATTTTATAAAATCAAAAGATTTTCAGTTTAATTTAAAATTTTTTCCATTTAAAATTTCAAATAAAGTTAAAATCTACAAAATTTTGTATAAGAGTTTGTAACTAATAAAATTTTGAATTATAATATAAGTCCACTTAAAACCTTAAATCTGAAACTTTTCTGATTAAAAAAAATATATATATTTTTATATGTGTAAGTTTTTCTTCATAAGAAATTAAACAATTTTATTATCGATTGATATTTCTTGCTATTCATAAACAATGACTGATATTTTACTTCAAATAACATTTGGATGAAGCCAAATAAAATCGTAACATTCATCAGTTGGTGTAGTTATTATTTTTTTGGAAAGGCCGTAAAAATCTGTATTTTTGACATATGTACGAAGCTAACAAATTATTTGTTAATTTATATTAGAACATTTACATATTTCCATTAAAGAATATTAAAGGCACACAATTAAATTAAACCATTTCTAAGTTTCTTTAGTAGGCCTATAAATTTTTAATATTTTAAATATTTTTAAAAATCTTTATTGAAATTATTACAATCTATTAAAGCTACTTCTTGATATTTTTAATTACAATAAACTGGTAACAGTTGATTTAATGATTAAGATATCATAATCAGGCTGTTCCATTATTTTCTAATTACTTATGTTTTACCTGAAGTCAAAGCAAGTTTAACTTAATGCTAACACTCATTGAATAAGATATATTCTTTAGCTGTTGTAGCCGTTTGTCAGAAACTCATCAATCTCTTGATGAAAAATGATTCATCTTATGGAAAAAAATTGTAATTTCAATAAATTATTTTAAGATGACTAGATATGAACTCATATTTTAAAAATGATGCTTTACTTTGCTGTCGAAAATAGACCATGATTTTTATTTAAATTAAAACACTTAGTTATATGTCTTACAATATATATACAGTATGTGTATAACATTTTATGATATTTGGATAGAAATGTAATTCAAAGTAATTATGGTTGTCTAAGAAGTGTTTTAAAATATTATTCTTAACATTTACATTACATTCGTAGTGATACTTTAATTTTTGATAATGTATTATAAGTCTGTAATTATAAATAAATAAATAAATATATTTTATGTTTGAAACTTCTACTGGTAAATCTTATATGCGATTTCTTGATTTTCTATATACAGTCGACCCCCTATAACACTGTTGATTATTCCGTTTTATATGAATTCCATGTTGTACGAGTCACTTAGATTTTACAAATACGTGA